ATCCCCAAACCTTCTACAACAGATTCTATTTGGGGCTGTTCAGAGCTGAGGGTAAAGAAGGAAAGTTGGAAATGTCAAAATGCAATTGCAATAAAGGGCAGAAAATGTAAGAGACCAACTTTGAAAAGATGTTTAAAGTTTTAAACCTCTGCCAAATAAATGAGATCTATTAAAAGAGGACTGAATTCTATTATGAGACCCACATACACAACCCACAATCATCAAACTATTCTGAACACCTGTTGAAGTTGGGGGATGAATTAGCCAAATGAAAATCACCAGGCACCACTGTGCAGTGCATCATTTGATGAGCATCTTTGAATCTGCTGAAGTAATCCCTCCTCCCATTACAGAACTTTAAACTAGAGCTTGTTCCTTAATGTGGGGGAAATGGTGCAGGGCTGGGACTTTGTGCTTGTAACTTCCAATATTCTGGGGAGATGCTGTAAAAGGCCCAGGTCTTCCAGACAGGAGCTGAGGGAGCTGTATGTCTTTGTCTTTGGGCCATAGCCCCTAAATGCCATTTTTTTCTGATTGCCAAGAAGTACAAGTCTTGGTCCTTCCATCTTTCTGCCGCGAAGTTAAAGCCAACTGCTCTGTCCCCCCGTGCACAGAGAAAGGAGAACAGGAGAGACGGCCTGATAACTACATTTCAGTCCTGATCGCCAGCCTCCCTAGAGCCGGAATCTGCCACCATCTCGCTGTTCCCAGGTGGACAAGGCTTTATTGTCCAGTCTTCCCTTCTACCCTGACTGCTCAGTCCTCACCACCTGGAAAAGCCTTTAGAGATAGTAAGTGGGCAAGGACAGGGTCAAGAGACAGGGCTGTGAGCAGAAGGGACACACAACCATCAAGGAACATCTACTCCTGTCTCATCAGCCCACGGGAGCAGCGTTCCCTCACCCCATCATTTCCATCTCAGAGCAGCGCTTTCGCAAAAGAAACTGGTAAAAAGAAGTAACACCTCTATAAAAGCTCTAAAGAAACAAGATTCTGAAATTTGACACCTTGTTTCATTTCTGAATACCGTTAGGCCAACTGGTTTTACTTCCTTCCCACCACACACACACAACCCCACGCGAGCCTCTGGGGACAGGCTGCCACCCCGCTGCCCCACCGAAGCCTGCCTTGTGCACCAGCATGCGGGAACACCTGCTTTATTGGCCTCGCTTGATAAGTCAAAAATCTTCCCTCTGTTTCACCAAGTTAACAGATGGCTGGTCCTTATTGATACACAGGCATAAGCATCTTCAAAATAACCTTTTGCTTTAAAGTGTGCCAGTTAATTAAATGTCACTGCAATGTGTCCCAGCCAAGGAGGGAAGGGAGAGACCAGAAGACAAAGGGTCAATGGATAACAACCGCGGTCATGCTCTCCTACCTTCACCAGATGACCCTGAAAGATCGATGATCACATACACTCTTCCTTCTGGCTCCAGGTCAATCTGCAATTAAGAAAATGACAGTGACTCTGTTAGTGCATTGTGGGGGCAACTGGAGAGTTCTATAGGTGGTGTCACCCCAGGGGTTCTCAACTGGAAGCATTTTCACTGCACAGGAGACATCAGACACAAGGAACGTTTTGGGGATACAAAAATACCTGGAGACGTTTTTGATTATCACACCTGGAGAGGGAGTGTGGCTCTGGCCCCTGAAGGGTGGAGGCCAGGGGTGCTGCGAGACATCCTGCAGCAGACGGGAGAGCCTCCACGACAAAGAATTATCCAGCCCAAAGTGCTGGTAGTGTCAAGGCTGAGAAACCCTGGGTCATCCCATTCTAGAGATAAGGAAACAGCTCAAATTCCAGGGTAACTGGCAATACTGAGATTCAATGCCAACACTGTCTAAAGAAACCTCTGTTCTATATTCTACAACTTGCTCACAGGGAAGGTAAGAAAAGTATAAGGCACTATCTGAGCTCTCAAGATGTTTACAGTCTCATGGGGGAGTTAAAACCTAGAGAACAATGCTGAACCCAGCTTAATGATGAGGGAGGGCCAGGGGATAACAGAGAAAGTATCTGGGAACCTAAAATCAGTGTAGAAGAGCAGTCCGGGAAAACTTCATGAAGGAAAGAAAGGGAAGGCTCTCAAGGGGGAAGGAACAGCATAAGCAAAGGCTGGGAATGTGCATGGTGCTGTGTGAGACTGAAGGACCCCCATGCTCAGGTTGTGTGTTGGCAGATGTGTTTTGCAAACCCCAGATTCTACCAATACCACTAAATTCTTACCATCCATCTTCTCCACCCCACCCTCACTTCCTCCCTCCCCACCTCCAAATCCAGCTAAGCTACTTCTATACAGAACCAGGCTGATGAGACAAGTCAGAGAGGCTGGCCTCTTGCAGGTAACATGTCTGCAAGGTCTAAACTCTCCTTACATATACTTTTCTCCATGAGGGGGAGGAGTAACTCCAGAAACCCTGGATCACCAAGTACCCCCAGGAGCCTCTGACCGCCTCCACAATCCCATCTGTCCGTGCAGAGCTTTAATTGGCTCAAACATGCCAGGCTTGTCTCCCCAACAAGCTGTGACTATCTTAAGGGCAGGAACCACTCCCCCTCCTTTCGTTTTTCACTGTCCCCCGCAAAGAGCAGGCACACATCTAACAAGCAGTCCTTAGGAAAGGTCAGCCTAGCAATGCCTCTTCTTCCTTCAAGGTCGAGGTCAATTATTGCCTCCTCTCTGAAGCCTTCCTAGATATTCACAGACAGAATTAGTCACCCTCTCATTTGTGTCCCCGTAATGCACATACATATCTCAACCACGGCTCCTGTTAAGCTATAATACACTGTCCACATGTCTCTCTCCTCTGCTAGACAGAGAGTATGGGAGTCATATTTGCATCAAGAGTGCTAAGCTTACTGTCTGTTAGTCAAGAGAAAACAAGTCAACCTTTATGCAGGTGGGACAGGCTCTGTCTTCAGAACTCCCAGAGCCGATTCTGGGATCATTCACCCCTTCAAGACCCCACCCCAGGAAGGCAGGCAGGCAGGTGATCTGAACCAAAGTGATATTCAAACAAGCTGGGAGGGGAAGCAGAGGTGGCTATACCATGAACACATGTTCCCTATGAGGTAACAAAACTCACCTTGGACAGATGTCCAGAGCTCTCCCCACGTCTCACTCCATTCATAATCCAGGTTCCCCAAGTGATTCCTGACCCCACTGTATTTCCAGGCTCAGCCTTTGGGGGTTAAGAATGGATGAGATTTCCCTAAAAATTCCAGTTCCATCAACAGGGGCTTCAATGCCCCAGAGGTGAGGCCCTCCCACCCCCGTGATATTTCAGGTACTCTGTCAGAGCAGGCAGCAAGGAGTGCAGGGAGATCTCAGGCTGCCCCATAGGGGCCACTTACAATTGAATTTGGGATCTTGAGCTTGGGGTCCAGATGGGAACGAAATAACAGACCTGCAACACCACGAGATGACTCCCCCAATCCTGTCTTCCCCAAGAGTCCATGATTTTAGGTTTCTGGAGTAAGACCATGTTCTCCAGCACCCTCACCACTGTACTGCCTGCCCCCTCTCCCCCACCCTCCTGCCCTGCCCCAAGCATATCTGGGCCACAACAGTGAATTACAAACGGCAAAACCAACAGTGGGCTCTACTGAACAAGGCCAAACCAGAATCTAGTCTCTGCCACAGTTCAAAAATATCAGGGGTCCCCTTGTCCTAAAGCATGGAATTTAAATAATGTGTGCTTTTTAGAGATTAGATCATTCCTATTAAACCCTGCTGGAAGAATGAAACAGTTTCTCATATCCTCCGAGTCAGAGATTTCCCACGACTGTGGACTTCACTGGCAAAGTACAATGCTATCTGTGAAAAGCAGGGAGGAAGACAGCGAAGGAGGGAGATGGGCTGCAGCCAGCCCGATCCAAGGCAGGCAGCATTTCTCTCTGTGCAAAAGGGGAGCGAGAACTCGAGGCAAGGGGGGACAGGTCACTGACGATAAAATGTATTAGGATATTAACATTCAAGATAGGAATCAGAAACCATTTTAACACCCACTGCTGCCTCCATGCCGATGAACTGCATTTCCAAACAGAAAAATAGAAATTAAGCTATTAAACATGCCAAAAGCTCAGGAGCTGAGGGAGCTGTATGTCTTTGTCTTTGGGCCATAGCCCCTAAATGCCATTTTTTTCTGATTGCCAAGAAGTACAAGTCTTGGTCCTTCCATCTTTCTGCCGCGAAGTTAAAGCCAACTGCTCTGTCCCCCCGTGCACAGAGAAAGGAGAACAGGAGAGACGGCCTGATAACTACATTTCAGTCCTGATCGCCAGCCTCCCTAGAGCCGGAATCTGCCACCATCTCGCTGTTCCCAGGTGGACAAGGCTTTATTGTCCAGTCTTCCCTTCTACCCTGACTGCTCAGTCCTCACCACCTGGAAAAGCCTTTAGAGATAGTAAGTGGGCAAGGACAGGGTCAAGAGACAGGGCTGTGAGCAGAAGGGACACACAACCATCAAGGAACATCTACTCCTGTCTCATCAGCCCACGGGAGCAGCGTTCCCTCACCCCATCATTTCCATCTCAGAGCAGCGCTTTCGCAAAAGAAACTGGTAAAAAGAAGTAACACCTCTATAAAAGCTCTAAAGAAACAAGATTCTGAAATTTGACACCTTGTTTCATTTCTGAATACCGTTAGGCCAACTGGTTTTACTTCCTTCCCACCACACACACACAACCCCACGCGAGCCTCTGGGGACAGGCTGCCACCCCGCTGCCCCACCGAAGCCTGCCTTGTGCACCAGCATGCGGGAACACCTGCTTTATTGGCCTCGCTTGATAAGTCAAAAATCTTCCCTCTGTTTCACCAAGTTAACAGATGGCTGGTCCTTATTGATACACAGGCATAAGCATCTTCAAAATAACCTTTTGCTTTAAAGTGTGCCAGTTAATTAAATGTCACTGCAATGTGTCCCAGCCAAGGAGGGAAGGGAGAGACCAGAAGACAAAGGGTCAATGGATAACAACAGCGGTCATGCTCTCCTACCTTCACCAGATGACCCTGAAAGATCGATGATCACATACACTCTTCCTTCTGGCTCCAGGTCAATCTGCAATTAAGAAAATGACAGTGACTCTGTTAGTGCATTGTGGGGGCAACTGGAGAGTTCTATAGGTGGTGTCACCCCAGGGGTTCTCAACTGGAAGCATTTTCACTGCACAGGAGACATCAGACACAAGGAACGTTTTGGGGATACAAAAATACCTGGAGACGTTTTTGATTATCACACCTGGAGAGGGAGTGTGGCTCTGGCCCCTGAAGGGTGGAGGCCAGGGGTGCTGCGAGACATCCTGCAGCAGACGGGAGAGCCTCCACGACAAAGAATTATCCAGCCCAAAGTGCTGGTAGTGTCAAGGCTGAGAAACCCTGGGTCATCCCATTCTAGAGATAAGGAAACAGCTCAAATTCCAGGGTAACTGGCAATACTGAGATTCAATGCCAACACTGTCTAAAGAAACCTCTGTTCTATATTCTACAACTTGCTCACAGGGAAGGTAAGAAAAGTATAAGGCACTATCTGAGCTCTCAAGATGTTTACAGTCTCATGGGGGAGTTAAAACCTAGAGAACAATGCTGAACCCAGCTTAATGATGAGGGAGGGCCAGGGGATAACAGAGAAAGTATCTGGGAACCTAAAATCAGTGTAGAAGAGCAGTCCGGGAAAACTTCATGAAGGAAAGAAAGGGAAGGCTCTCAAGGGGGAAGGAACAGCATAAGCAAAGGCTGGGAATGTGCATGGTGCTGTGTGAGACTGAAGGACCCCCATGCTCAGGTTGTGTGTTGGCAGATGTGTTTTGCAAACCCCAGATTCTACCAATACCACTAAATTCTTACCATCCATCTTCTCCACCCCACCCTCACTTCCTCCCTCCCCACCTCCAAATCCAGCTAAGCTACTTCTATACAGAACCAGGCTGATGAGGCAAGTCAGAGAGGCTGGCCTCTTGCAGGTAACATGTCTGCAAGGTCTAAACTCTCCTTACATATACTTTTCTCCATGAGGGGGAGGAGTAACTCCAGAAACCCTGGATCACCAAGTACCCCCAGGAGCCTCTGACCGCCTCCACAATCCCATCTGTCCGTGCAGAGCTTTAATTGGCTCAAACATGCCAGGCTTGTCTCCCCAACAAGCTGTGACTATCTTAAGGGCAGGAACCACTCCCCCTCCTTTCGTTTTTCACTGTCCCCCGCAAAGAGCAGGCACACATCTAACAAGCAGTCCTTAGGAAAGGTCAGCCTAGCAATGCCTCTTCTTCCTTCAAGGTCGAGGTCAATTATTGCCTCCTCTCTGAAGCCTTCCTAGATATTCACAGACAGAATTAGTCACCCTCTCATTTGTGTCCCCGTAATGCACATACATATCTCAACCACGGCTCCTGTTAAGCTATAATACACTGTCCACATGTCTCTCTCCTCTGCTAGACAGAGAGTATGGGAGTCATATTTGCATCAAGAGTGCTAAGCTTACTGTCTGTTAGTCAAGAGAAAACAAGTCAACCTTTATGCAGGTGGGACAGGCTCTGTCTTCAGAACTCCCAGAGCCGATTCTGGGATCATTCACCCCTTCAAGACCCCACCCCAGGAAGGCAGGCAGGCAGGTGATCTGAACCAAAGTGATATTCAAACAAGCTGGGAGGGGAAGCAGAGGTGGCTATACCATGAACACATGTTCCCTATGAGGTAACAAAACTCACCTTGGACAGATGTCCAGAGCTCTCCCCACGTCTCACTCCATTCATAATCCAGGTTCCCCAAGTGATTCCTGACCCCACTGTATTTCCAGGCTCAGCCTTTGGGGGTTAAGAATGGATGAGATTTCCCTAAAAATTCCAGTTCCATCAACAGGGGCTTCAATGCCCCAGAGGTGAGGCCCTCCCACCCCCGTGATATTTCAGGTACTCTGTCAGAGCAGGCAGCAAGGAGTGCAGGGAAATCTCAGGCTGCCCCATAGGGGCCACTTACAATTGAATTTGGGATCTTGAGCTTGGGGTCCAGATGGGAACGAAATAACAGACCTGCAACACCACGAGATGACTCCCCCGATCCTGTCTTCCCCAAGAGTCCATGATTTTAGGTTTCTGGGGTAAGACCATGTTTCCAGCACCCTCACCACTGTACTGCCTGCCCCCTCTCCCCCACCCTCCTGCCCTGCCCCAAGCATATCTGGGCCACAACAGTGAATTACAAATGGCAAAACCAACAGTGGGCTCTACTGAACAAGGCCAAACCAGAATCTAGTCTCTGCCACAGTTCAAAAATATCAGGGGTCCCCTTGTCCTAAAGCATGGAATTTAAATAATGTGTGCTTTTTAGAGATTAGATCATTCCTATTAAACCCTGCTGGAAGAATGAAACAGTTTCTCATATCCTCCGAGTCAGAGATTTCCCACGACTGTGGACTTCACTGGCAAAGTACAATGCTATCTGTGAAAAGCAGGGAGGAAGACAGCGAAGGAGGGAGATGGGCTGCAGCCAGCCCGATCCAAGGCAGGCAGCATTTCTCTCTGTGCAAAAAGGGAGCGAGAACTCGAGGCAAGGGGGGACAGGTCACTGACGATAAAATGTATTAGGATATTAACATTCAAGATAGGAATCAGAAACCATTTTAACACCCACTGCTGCCTCCATGCCGATGAACTGCATTTCCAAACAGAAAAATAGAAATTAAGCTATTAAACATGCCAAAAGCAACAATGAGCTTCATAGCCTGGGCAGATGGCCGCAGAGTGCTGGCTGAGCCCCTGCCAGCCAGTGAGGAGACTCAGAACCCATCTCCAGCAGGGCGACTTCAATGCTGATGGCTGGAGGGGTTATGAGGTACAAAACTGGTGGAGTGCGGGGCCACTTCATGGCCAAATTAATTTAATCACAATTGTGAGATTCTGCTCACAATTACGTGGCCCAGATAATGAAGCAACATAGGTGCCCAGCCCTGCACAACCCTGCAACTGTCAGGCTGCATCCCCACAGGCAGCTGGCACTGCATAAAAGCAGGTCTGCTCCTCCTCCCAACCATTCCCAGGGTTAGTTCCAAGCTCCTTCTCCGGCACCCCAGGTTCCTCCCAATTCTCCCACGTGCAACCCTATTTATCGAATCTCCCTACCTCATACCTTTCTTTGACACTCCCCCTACTAGCTCTGCTTTCTTTGACCATGATTCCCTTTTAAACTCCAGTGCTTTTGGCTACACCTCTAGCTGAGCCCCAAGCAAGGCAGTAGGAAGAACAGTGGAGAAGACAAACAGCTTTTGGAGTAAGACAGGGCTGAATCCCAGTTTTGTTCCTTACCAGCTCAGGCAATGATTTCCTCTCCCTGAGCCTCAGCCTCAGTCTCTTCATTTGTGAAGTGGGTTGCTGTAAAAATTCCATGAGACACACATTCAAAGCACTTGGCACTCAGGAGATACCAAGTACATGGCAGTTAAGAGTGAACTTACTGGCTCTGCAGACTGAAGCAAGACACAACCTTCTCTAAGCCTCAGAATGTTCGTCTGTGAAACAGAGCTAATAACAGGTCCTGTGACATTTAGGCTGTCATGATGTTAAATGAGATCATCTGTGTAAAGTGCTTACTTAGCATGGTGTCTGGCACAAAATACTCAGTAATTGTTGGTGTTACTGTTATTAAAAAGCCAAGTCTTCAAATCCGCTACTTAATCCAATGTTCTTTCCACTTTATCAAGCTTTCCCTCAACAAAAACAGTTTTTTTCTGGCCTGGAGTTGATATTATGACATGTCATTCCAGGGTATCTGATGACTTTATGGTGTTGTAAATAAATAAAGAACTAAGACAAGAGTTTCATACACAGCCTGGGAGAAACCCAGGGGCAAAAAAAGGTCATAGACCTGCTCATCAGAGGGTCACGTGATGCTCAGGAGAGAAGAAGAGGAGGGTGACCACATATTGTCTGAGCACCTACCACGTCTTAAACACTGTGTTGGATGCTTTACCTACATTAGTTCATTTAATCTCCTGTGAGGCTGGCAATATTCCCTACTTCTCAGATGGAAAAACTGGGGCTCAGAGAGCTGCCAGATTCCCACCCAGGGCTGCCTGGAGGGCACAGGAAAATTGACTCTCATGGAATGCTCATCTCAAGTCCTGCCCGGCTCACGAAGCCTTCTGTGACAGCCTGGTCCCAGGGTTCTCCTTCCTGCAAGCCTCTGGGGCCCCTGTGGGTTCTCTCTCCTCAGCTGCAACTGACCGACTCTTTTGCCAGGCCTGTTTTAGGCAGGCAGGGCAATGCCTTCGACGCCCTGCCACCCTGCCCAGAACCCTAGGGGAAGGTCTGGGCTAGACAAGAGCTCCAGTCATGTGACTTAGGAACAAGGCAATGGGGAACAAGCCCAAACTACAGAAGCCCATGAAACAGCAATCTCTGAAAAGCAAAAAGAAGCATGGGCACTTTTTGGGGTCATTCACACAACTCTTCACACACACTGTATCATTTATTCCGCACAGTAGCCTGTAAGGTAACAAGTATCATTAGTGCCATTGTGTGCATGAGAACACTGAGGTGAAGGAAGTGGCCAGAGCAGCAGAGCTGGTGTGACCACACAGCCGCACACCGGCAGGGGCGCCATTCACGTGCAAGTCTCCACAGCTAGGCAGCCTAGAGTATGCGGTAGCAGCAGAACCATATCTGCGACTCCTGCATCTCCTCTGACACTCCTCCAGCCACGCCACAGCTGTCCTGTGGGAGCTCTGACTGCAAGGCTTGCAGCCCACAGATGATGTGGCCTGGGGCAGCCCGCGTAGGTGTTACTGCCCTGTGCCACCATGACCCACAGGTGTCTGTGTGCCTGTGTTTTGGGGGGTGACCGAGTTCGAGGCAAAGGAGGTAGGAAATTCACAGACAAGCTTCCTCCCAAGCAGAGCTCAACTTTCACTGGAGACCTCTAGGCAAACCTTTCCTCAGAACAACCCACAAAGGTCTCATGCCCAAGTTGAGTTTCACTTCCCTTTTCCATGTGTTGTCGGGCACTAGGGCCTAGAAAGAAGCAAAAGGCATGGAGTGGGTCAGAAAAAGATGAATCTAGAAAGGATGA